ACAAGCGCATGTTGATTATCACGTCATTAAAGATGGTTCGTAAATAAAAAGACGACAGTAGTATCACATAAGGGATTGCTGTAATGTATGCCGAAAAACGATACAGGTATTGAATATAAACCGGGCAAGCGCCATTTCGTACGGAAAACTGAACTACAGTTTTACAAGTAAAGGAAGATTTATGTGATAATACTTTAAGCTAATTACCTCATTTTGAAATTTAAGACTAGGTAGGGTAACATTGGGTTCTGTTCGGGGACCTTGTCAGGTTATTCGTTTGAATTCCGTAATAGCCGATACACCATAGGAACTCAATTTCCAACTCCAAACGATTTGAACGCATCTGTTACTCCAATATGAACCCTTTCACATTATTATCAAATAAACATTCTGCTGGGGCTTGACCATCCATGGAGAACACATTCGGTTCATTTTTGAACGCGCCATTGTTGACGAACCGCAATTTTGAATGGTCTCATGTTGATTTTAAAGAAAACCAAAATAACAGCCAAACAAAAGCAAAAAAACTTCGAAATAAACCGGATGTAGAAAGAAAGCTTACAGATTGTTTACACTGCTCCACGTGACTCCGAATTTCACTGGTGGCGATTTCTCTGCCGCAGTGTAAAGGCACGCCAAAGTGGCAGTGGAAGAGGGTGGGGAAGACTCTGACAGTTCGATGTTCTTGTTGAATCCGACGAACGTACATCCGGTGAGTGCTGAACAACTTCAGCTCTTTCGTCGAACAAGGCCCAGTGTGCACGAGCTCCAGCATCGACCTGGACTTACTCTTAATCACGAGAAACTCGAATCCAAACGTCAATTCAATCTTGTTGAACGCACTATGGAGAAAATTATGACATGTGTTATTACATAACACGTGCGGAAAATGAACACAAACTGTAATATGAATGATTCAAAGGGAGTCATCTCCATCCAATCGTTTTGTATGGAACTTGATGTCTGGGCAGTGTAGCAGGTCTGTGTTTATACTGACAAATAATAAATCAAGTACATAACAATTTGTATTGCCGTCTCCGTAATGATTCTCGAACGCGCATTACGAAGAAGTACTACTAAAATTAATTAACGAGGATGTAAGATCACTAGCAAGGAAAAAATTTACTACAAATATAGAACTGTCAATGCAAAAGAAAGACTCAACAAAACAATAAAACAAACAGTTAAACGGAACAATTGAAGACGGGTTTCCAGCTCAAAAATTTAATGCATGAAACCTATAATTCTGCGGCTATGACAACACTTGGCTTGTGTGTATGCCATTTTGGGTGGTAAAATGAGCAGTTTGCAGTAAGATTATGATTTCAGTCTTCACGCTTAAAAGGGCCCAGGTAAAAGGAGGCTGGTGGGGTTTTCTAGTGGATGGCATCATTTCAAAAGCCGAGTTGTCATCACAGAGGGACCTTGGGTTGTTGGTCATGCTGTTAAATGTAACAAGTTTCAGCCCCCTACTATTTAGAGGTTTAGGCCTTAAGTGCAGTTTTTCAGAAAAAAGCACTGTACTTATTTCTATGCAACGAAATTCACCTGATAAGTTTAAAAATAAAAACCAAGAACATAAAAAACCAAAACAAAACAATAAAGAAAACATTCTCGAAAGGCTAATTATTGAAAAACGTGAGCATATTTACAGCAGCAGATAACAGCAAACTGTTGGTATTTGTATTTCATCCCAATTTTAGAGAAAAAGGTATACCTTAGTATTTTCTCCTG